TCGACCCGATTGAACCCGGGTCAGTTTCGGGTTCGACTCGAACCCGACCCATGACCCGAAATTGACACCCCTAGTGTAAATGATCATAACACCACAACTTGTTACAAAAACCAGCCTACTTGGCTGAACACTTTTAAGATACGAAATATGTACACAAATATTAATCAATTTAAGGAAAAAGTAAAATAAAATTAGAGTGTATTTCATTTTCACAATTAAAGAATTTTTAGAGATTACAACTTATTTACTTTCGATGGGCCTGACACCATAAAACAAAGTTTCATGCACAATATTTCAATTTTTTTAAGGTACTTGTAGAATTTCCTGCCTCAACCACTTGTCTTAAATTTAAGGGATTAATTTTAGTGACATTTAGGTTTCATTTGAGGCAATTTTTTGCCATCATTTTTTCGTTGTTTTCATTGAAGTTTTGTACTTGAAAGCCGCTTTTAAATCCAGTGAAAAAGCCATTCCAAATGAAGCCTTAGGATTCGTTTGGGACGGTTTTTTTATTGCTTCTTAAATCAACTTTCGATTTTTGTACTAGAAAGCTGCCTTAACAAGTTGTAAGAAAGTAAAATCCCACACGAGATTTATATAATTATAAATGTTTGAAATAGGGATTTTTCTTCGAAGGACGAGTATGTTATAATCCACCATAATTGGACGTGTTATCATCCTTTTAATGTTATTGGAATGGTTGATGGATTCTTTAAAATTTTTATTAACAATTATCCTTATTTTCACCTTTAGTTCATATTCGATCATTAGAAACTGAGGGTTTCATTTGGGACAGCTTTTGACCACTGCTTTTTACTACTTTCAAAAAACATTTGTACCAAAATTATCATATAGAAAACAATAAAAAAACTGTCTCAAATAAAACCTAAACCTTCTCATTAGAATGTGTATTTATATCCCTTCAATTGAATTATTTCAATAAAATCACCCTTAATAGACTAAGCATGAAATTCTATGTTAGTATGAGATTCTTGTAAGAATTTATTTGGGACCTTTTTGTAATTTAAAAAAAAAACTATCTTGTACATCTTATATAGATATTTTCTGTTTTTAACAAAATCTCTTATTTTCTTAGTAAATATTTTATACTTCTAAAGAACCTTTTTGATGCTCAGTGCCTGATTTAGCCAAAATGGGCCTTAAGGAGTTCACATATAAATTTTGAACATTTTACGCTGGGCCGTGTCGCTCCCCCTTCGTTTGGACCGGGCTCAAAATTATTTAATAGAATGGCCTGTAAAACATTAAAGTTTAAGAAATAATTTCGTGTATATTAATTTAAAATTGTAAATATTTAGAAGAATATTTTAGATAGGTCCAAACAAATACAGAATATTAATGAGTAGAAAGTAATTTTATAGAGTTGATCATATATGATAAAACCTAAAGATGCATTAAGTAAATAATATTAATATCTAAAATTTTAGAGAAAATTTTAAAATGCTTTTAAAAAAATAAAATATTTAATAAAAATGTATTATTAAAATAAGAATAATAATATGTATTCTTAAAATTAAACCCGAATTATTAGGAAAATATTAATAATAAATGATGTTGGCATGTGAAGAACATATATATCACTTATTTTTCATCCAAAATAAAAGAATATTGAGGCATTCCAAATTCAACCTGAAAATAAAAATAACTACCGCCGCGAATATTCCAGGACGCAACAAAGCTATTAATCTTTTGTTAAGAATATTTTTCCTTCCTATGACCCCCATCCACAATGTTGGAATTAAAAGATTGATAAATGACTCATGAGTCGATCTCGATTAACTAATGAGCAAAACTTCAATTAGTTCCCACTTGATTGGTTAACTCAAGAACCAACTCTTTTAAAAAATATTAATGTAAAATACAATTAAAATATATTGACATTTAGCATTTTAAGTAAAAAAACTTATAAAAAATATTTAACATTTATATTTCATTTTATTATATCAAGTGATTACTTTTTTTTTCTAATTTGATATTCTTTTAACCATTTTATTATAATATTTGCTTGAACCAAAGCATTTTTTTCTTTTAAAATAAATAAGCTAGCTGGTGAGCTAATTAAAACTTGTAGAATTAAGCTCAAGCTCAAAAACAATTAATTAATCAAGCTCAAGTTCTAGTCAAGGGTGACTTGAGCTTGGCCTGACTCGTTTTCACCCTTGACACATATTTGTTAATTTTGTGTGGAATCTGATTGTATTGATTAATTAGGTTATACTATTGACTTATACCTTAATTTTGTCAGCAAAACTCACTCGGAGGGCCTTCCCATGCTTGGGTTCGGGGCCAATAGTCATACAACACGATAGTGGTATAGTTTTGATTTTGAGGCACATAGTGAAGCTCTGCGACACTGCAGAACTAGCACTGAAGCAGTGCAAGTCATCTTGGAGGTAGAGAGTAGAGCATTGAGGCTCTACAAACCCCAGTATCGCAATGCTGCAAGTTGGGATGAGCAATTTTCCTTCTAATTTTTTATATTTAACTTGAAGGGTTGTGTCATTGGGTATTGAAAGTACATTTCTTTGTCTTTATAGCTAGAATAGACGTGAAGAAGTGGAAGTGAAATAACGAGATAGTGAAATAAATAAGATTTTGTAAAATTTCTTTCAATTTTATACTGAATTTCTTAGTAAGGGTGCACTTTAATGATTTTATCTGACTGACCCGGGTTCAGGTCCGAACCTGAACTGACCGGGTCTAAACGGGTTTGATCATTGAACCCGACTCGAGTATGATAAAAACGGGTTCCTGAAATCCAAACCCGGAACCCAACCGATGGGTGTCGGGTTGCAGACCGCGACATGGGACCCGAAACGGTCGCGGAAGCTCGGGCGAGCGGCGAGAACGGGTGGCGCGGCTAGCAGCTCGGGCGAAGGGTGCCTCGGCGCTGGATGGCGGCGGCAACATGCGCTGGCAAGCTTGTCGTGTGGGCAGCTGAGCTGGGCAAGGTCCGGTGCAGCGCAGACAGTTCAAGTAAACGGGTTTCGCGGGTTGACCCGGCAACCTCGCCGGTCAACCCGAACGATCCAAGTTTCAAACTGGGTCGAATTCCGGGGAACCTGAACCCGTCTCCGTTTTGAAATCGGGTCTGTCCAATCCGGATTTTTCGATCAGGATTTTTATTCGTGTCAAACAATATTGAACCTTTAATTATGAGTTATATTATAGCCCTAATCTTCGTTTCTAGAATGAGACAGAAAGAAACAAAGAAAATGTCCATCTTGTTTGGATTATCTTATTATTTAATTTTATTTAATTTTTGCAAATATGTATACTGGATATGAATTAATAATACTGCGGGGAAAAATTTTATATTTTGGAATAAATTAGGCTTTTCTTCCTACTGTTGCTGTAGATTCCAAACTAAGTATTTTTGCACTATTTTTTTACTATTTTTTTAATAATTTTTTCTATTAAATTTTTTTTTCTATAATAGTTTCCAAGAGATATTTTCAAGTTATTGTTCTCCACAATAATGTTTACAACAATCTTTATAAATATTAACGATCTGAAAGCAGGGATAGTGCGAAGAATATTTCTCTAGGGAGTACAAATTAATTCTTTTTAAAATATTAGTAATATTTGTTTAAGAGAAATTTTATAACACTAAGGCAAATTTGGGAACTTTTTACTATTTGATGTTAGAGACACATCTTAAAATTTAGTTTCTTAATCTGCTTCTTAAACAATTTTCTAGTAACAAAGTTAAATTTTTTTGTACTTAATAAAGTTATTTTAAGAAGAAGTAAAATGCCATCGACAACAAAACCTAAATATTAACATTCTTAAGGAGAAATTATAATGTGGACGTCTGAATGTGCTCTACTGCTCTACATATCAGACTCCAATATAGTTAAGGCATGTGGATTCTTACTTTTTTCTTATGACTCGATGGCCTGACCCACCTCTAGTCTTGAAAATTTGAAAATCCCAATAGATTTAGTTTTATCTTCTCGGTTTGTACATTTCTACAGATAGAACATAGCAATACACAGAAATGCATAGCAATACACCGTAACACATAGTGCATATTAAAAAAAAAATCATATTTTCCAACTTAATTTCTCCAATACACAGCTGTGTAAAAGGCTAAAAAAAACCTTTCAAATGAACAAATAAAATATTGTGTATTCTTATAAACTTGAATACATAGTAATACACACCAATATACAATATTAGCAAAAAAATCACATTTTTTAACATAAATGCTCTAATACACAGTTGTGTTAAAGCTCAAAAAGGTTTAAAATTAAATGAACAAACAAAATAATGTATATTCTTATAAACTTGAATATATAGTAATACACGCTAATACATAGCAATATACAATACATATTAACAAAAAAATTACCCAATCGTTAAAAAGATTAGGAAAAAATAACATTTTAAAAATATATCTCTTATACACAGCTATGTATAAGACATGAGAGAATAAATGAACTTTCAAAAAATTATTATTTACATAAAATTTTACATAGTTATTTGTAGAAGCATGCATTTTCGCAGTATTCAACATATAAATTTTTTAAGAATACATTATAAATTAATGTGTGTGAAACATCACAAAATCCATATAAAATCATTGTTGTCCAGTTTATAAATTCCTCATTGAAAGTGAATATAGTTATATTGTATTTGCCACTACGACATATATCTCTATTGATTAAGCTCAACAAAACTTATATAGTCTCATAATATACATTGAAAATTTAGGTAATTAAATTACATCTTATTCTTAAGATTTTTTTTTTCCATTGGCCCTTCAAAGAATGTGACATCCTCCAAACCAAATTCAATCTTCATCGCATGTTTCTCATTTTTCTTTCTCAACGGGTACTAAAAGTTTTATTCCCTAAAAAAACCTTAAATATAATTTGGGAGCTTTTGCAGATTTTTTTTTTCAAAACATAACAAAGAGTAGGATGCCACAATTTCAAAATTTTCACAGCCTAGCTGGATCGAGTCATAAGAAAAAAGCAAGAAATTAGTCCACGCGTCTTAATTTAATTAGAGTACAGACGTAGAGCTATGTCCAGACTCCGCACCTAATAATTTTTCCTGTAGAGGCCATTAGGCTCCTCTTTAAATCAATCACTACGAAAAGAAGCCATTTGCAAAGCCTTCCTTCCAATGGGTTGGACACAAACTGTGTTATAACTGAAAATTTTGAAAAATATATTTTTACCTACAGCACTCAAGAATTTATTCATAAGTTATTATAAGACCCAAATCACAAACCGTCTTCTCCATAACATTCTTATTATTGTGTTTTGATTTCTCTAAAATTTTCATAATTTTTTAGCACTGATGAAATTTCTTAAGAAATTAACACTTAACGGTATAAGTTGGGGTTTAGCGATTGTCATGTGTCCGATTTGTAAACCGATTTCATCAAAAAATTTTAAATAAAATGAGTTATTTCATAAATATTTTTGAATAATTTTTGGAATGCCTAAAATAATTTAATAAATTTTATATTAAAATTGATTATAATTTTATAATATTATAATATTATTAAAAAAAATCTAAAAGCATAATAGAAAGTTTAAATGGCTTCAAATCCCATTTCTCATTTTCTTTACGTTTAACATAGAAAGGATTTTGGGAATTGAGAAGAAAAAGATGAAAGAGAGGGAAAGAAGTTGGGGTTTGACGATTGTAGAGCGATTTTACTCCATCGGTCTAGTTGAAAATTTTGCTCATCTTGAGATAAGTTATGTTTTGCCTATTT